GCCTTAAATTGCCAGACTGTTTTCCAAAGTGGCTGCAGCATTTTACATTCCCAGCATTTTACATATCAGCATTCTTTACATTGTTTGGGAGCTCCAATTTCTCCACTTCCTGACACTTGTTATTATCTGCCTTTTTTTACTGTTGCCATCTTAGTGGGTGTGAAGTGGTATCTCATTGTGGTTTTGATTTGCATTTCTGCACTGGCTAATGATGCTGAGCATCTTTTCTGAGCCCCTTAGTCATTCTTCTTTGCAGAAATATCTATACAGATTCTTTGCTCAACTTTTAATTGCAGTATTTGTCTTTTCATTATTGAATTTTAAGAGTTCTACACAAGGGTACTTCAAAAGCTCATGGAAAAATAGAATTAAAAGATAATATGAATTTTTCCATAAACTTTTGAAGTACCCTCATATAAATTCCAGATATAAGTACCTGTCAGTTACATGATTATCAAATATTTTCTCCCAATCTGGGGATGTCTTTTCACTTTATTGGCAGTGTCCTTTGAAGCACAACCTTTTTAATTCTGATGAAGTCCAATTTATCTATCTTTTTCTTTTGTTGTTTATAGTTTTACTGCTATGTTGAAGATATCATTGCCTAATCCATGATCATGAAAATTTACTCCTATGTTTTTTTCTAAGAGTTTTATTGTATTAGCCTTTTTACACATTTTGAGTTAATTTTTGCATATGGTGTGAGGTAAGGATCCAATTTCATTCTTCAAATTCAATTTCATTTAGTTGTCCCAGCACCATTTAATTTTTCCCCCATTGAATTGTTGGCACTCTTGTTAAAAACCAACTGACTATAAGTGTATATGTTTATTTCTAGACTCTCAATTCTTTTTTATAGATCTATATGTCTATTTTTATACCAGTACCACACTGTATTGAACACTGTAGTTTTACTGTAAGTTTTAAAATTGAGATATTTCCACTTTTTATGTCCATATTTTGGCACACACAGTAAAGGCTGGATGTGGCCTGAGTGGAAAGGCCTGACAAGATGGACTGAGGACATGTAAGGAGAGGAAGAACAATTAATGTGTAAGAGATTAGGAGTCAGGGGACCTAGTCTTTAACCCTCACCCTGCCATCTCCCTGTGTAACCTTATGCAAGTCATTTGATGTTTCTGGGCTTCTGCTTTCCATTCTGTAGAATGAAGCCTCTGGGCTAGTTGATTGTTAAAGGAATTTTTAATTTTAATATTCTGGGAGGCATGAGAGAGAGAGTTTCCACAGGCAAAGTCTGTCACAGACCCCCTGATTTTATAGCAAAGCATTCATAGACTTTTGCTCACTTGGAACTTAGGTATGGGACAGGAAATATACAAGATGATTTTGGGTTATCTTGTCATACCAGATCATATTAAGGTTATCAGAGACTACCAAGGTCAGATCTAAAGGACTCAGACTCTCATTGGCCAAAGATGGGGCACTCTGGACATCAATAAGGTTAATAAATGTGATGGATCAAAACACACCAAATATATTTAAATTCATGAGTTCATAATGTGGCTTTAAGAAACTCTAATTATTTGGAACTTCTGGATAATGAAATCTCTAACAGGGAATCCCCAGGTCATCTCATCCACTTGGCCTGGTTTTCAGGCCTGCACTGCTCTACCCTGCCTCTCTATTTCCCTGAGGACTGTTCTAGCACTTTGCTTCCAGTTAGCTTTTATCACTTTGCTATTCTCTGTTAATCTGTTTGGAGAAGGCATGGGAGAGCACAGAGTCATGGGTAGGGGCCTGCCAAGCCAGAGTCGCACCTAGCAGTGCCTGCTAACTGAACAAATAGTGCCTCGCTCTGATATGCACCGTGGCTTTCCTTTGTTTCTGAGGAAGCAGCTTCTGTTGAATGAACAGAGCATGCATTCTCTTCAGCGTGCAGGTTCTGTGATCATGTGCTTTCTCCAACAGGGGCTCACAGATTTGGAGGTATTAAAAAGAGACTTTTTGCTGAAGAAGTGTGGCCAGAGGGCCTGAGGGGCTGGGGGTCGTCAGAAACCAGACTCTAAGCCCTGCTCCTCCCACCCCTCTCTGCTGTCCTCTCCCCACTCTGGGCCTCCATTTCTTTATGTTTAAAAACAAAACGTGGAGGAATGTACACCTGTGCATGCACCAGTGTGCACTGAGCTAAGTGACAGAAGCCAGACTCAAAGGTCACGTGCTGTAGGATGCCATTTGTGTGGCTTTCTGAAAAAGGGAAAACTACAGGGTCAGAAAACAGATCAATAGCTGCCAGGAACAGAGGGGTGGGGGGAAAGGATTAACTGTAAAGGGGCATGAGGGAACATTTCGGAGGGATGGAATTATTCTCTATCTTGATTTTTGGCGGTGGTTACATCATTGTATAATAGGGTATGTAAAAACTGATAACACTGAAGGTAAAAAGGGTGAATAGTGCTGTGTGTAAATTATAGCTCAGTAAACAGACAAAAAAGTGTCTTTCTCTCATATGTGCACATGCACGCATATACACACACGCGCACACAGTTGGACCAGAAAAGGTCTCTCTCAGTGCTGTATTCACGGATTCTCTACTGAGGGTGTGATCATGGGTAGGGTAGCAGGAAGGGATAGCCTGGGTCTTGTCTCATTTCTTAAACTTCCCCTCCCCGATCCCTCCCCCACTAAACACAGTCTTTCTGTGAAGTAACAGGAGAGAGAGGAAAGGTAGGCTTCATTGGCTTGGTGGCTGTTTTAGGAAGGAGGCGGCTTCTTCCGTGGAAGTGCACACATGCCCATGGATGGAGGACAGAGGCCATGCCCAGCCCTGTGTCCTAGGTCTGAGATCTGAGTCCCTGGCCCGAAATGGAGCATTTCTGAACAAGAGCTCAGCATCCGAATCCCAGCGAGGCAGCCACAAGGCCTGCAGACGAATGGGCGACTGGATGGAGAGTGCGCATCTCCACTGTTCTGTTCCCATCCAGGTCTGGAGGAGCCCCCAGCCTTGCACTCTGCTGATATTGAGGCCTAATGCAGGGTTATTGATTGAGGTCATCCAAGTGACATAGTGAGGGAAACAGTCCCTCACTGGGAAGAAGAGAGCTGGGGGCTTGTCACAGGCAGAGAGAGGCTGCTGCCTGTGCAGTGAACAGAGCCCTAGGCTGGCAGGAAGGGCTGGCACACAGGGCCAACCGCTGGGGGGATCTGTCCGTCTGGTAGGGGTTTGCAGAACCCCTTCACTGCCTCTCAGTGCCTGTCTCAGACGTGGCACTAGCCAATACCAGCTCCCATTTTGTGAACACTTGCTATGTATCAGGCACAGGCTAAACCGTCTGTATTAATCCACAGCCACCATAAAATTTCAAAATTCTTATTCCTGTTTTACAAATGAGGAAACCCATGCTCAGACTAAGGGTGTGTGGCTCAGCCTCTGCAATCAGGGGCTGTTTCCCTGTTTTGTCTGCTGAAATAAGCCAGACCTGGCCACGAAAGCTCTGGGGCTCTGAGGAGGACAGAGCCCATGCTTTAAGAGAGCAGGAGTGGACCCCAGAGCTCTGTTTCAGATGGAGCTTATGCTGAGCTACACCCCCCACTCCAGGCCCCTTTAAAATAAGCCAGACCCTGCAGCCTCTCTTTGGCCAGGGGGGCCTATCCCCTGGTGTGCAGGGTCTGGGACAGATCCTGTAACCCCCCACTGTGGGTGCTGAAGGGCTGGGTGCAGGGAAAGAAGCCCAGCCGCAGACCTGGGAAATCCCATTAAAGGGAGCCGGGCATTCATATGGGGGCTTCTGTGGAGGAAGGCAGACCGAGGATGGCATGCTAGGCAGAGAGCTCTGTGGGCCCAGGGAGGCACATACCCCACAGAGGGACACCTCGGTTTGGAGGCTGCCACATCTCAGGAAGATTCCTAGGACCAGAGACACCCATTAGAAGCCTTGATGGTCCCTCGGAGGCTGGGACCGAGGAAAAATTGGAAGCTGCCACCAAGAGAAAGAACAGCCCATTATGCCAGAAGTCCCTGAAAGGATATAGGGAAAGAGGAAGCAGTCAGGGTGGCTTTCAGACATTCTTGGGTGGGCACAGCTCTTTGTGTTATAATTGGTAGCCCCAAATCTCCACCTTGACCCTGGACCTGAAAGCGGGTCTCTGTGTGCATACACAGCGACAGCTTGATAAACAAAGCTTCTGGAAGTAAGCCAGATGGTCTGGCTGCGTAGGAGGAGCTTCCGGTTCCCTGGAGGTGGCGAACGTGGTCAAGGAGGACAGAAAAGCGTGGCTCTCTTGTGGGTGGGCCAGGACATGATTGTGGGACACACTATGGACCAGGGGCAGATGTGACCTTGATTTTGACTTTGTGGGGCAAGAAATACTACTCAAGGAGGTGGCCCAGGCATCAAGAAATGCAGATGAGACTGGAGACCCATCCCCATGCCTCTGAAATCATTTCTACCTTTGGGAACAAAATTTCTGCTGCTGAAACATGCTGCCAGGTGCCAGCCCTCTCCTTCATAGAGGGATTGAAGTGCAGTGGGTCCTTTTTCCTTGTTCTCTTCCTCCTCCTGTCAGCCTGATGCTCAGGCTCTCAGAGTCCCGCTGCTTTGGCGTGAGTAGGAAATGAGATTGTCTGTCGCTCAGGAAACCAAGACTCCCTGTAAGGAGCACCGTCTGTATGTAGCTGCCTTCGATCCTGAGACTTTATTCAAGAGGGTGTCAGAGCAGTCACTGGGTTTTGTACCTGAGCACAGATGATGGGGCATAGAGATCACCCAGCCAAGGTGACCCTGGCAGAGTCAAGCGCTTCAGCCTTCTAGTGACACTGCTGTCCCAACCTACCAGGATAAGTTCAGTACCTCAGAGATTTAGCTTTTCTGAGCTACTTAGCATTCTGCTTGAGAATGAGAGAAAAATAGACTCCCTGTGAGTGCGCACGTGTGTGTGTGTGTGTAGGGCAGGGAGTGGGGAGGAGTGGCAGATTTTTTATTTTAGAGGTAAGCCCTGCCCAACAAACCCCCAAACCAAGGAGCCACACAAAGTTAGCTGGATTGTAGTGGGTTCAATTCATTTATTTTTAGACTGTACCAGCATGTTTGGTTCTTGGGTCCAATCACCAAATTCCAGAAAAATAAACTGATGAGAACCACATGCACTATGAGGAGGCCATTCCGACGTGTCTGTGATCATGCTGTGAGTGGGCTTAGAATATAGAACAGGAGCCCTCGGTGCGAGGCAGGGCCTCCTCTCCCGACAGCTGGCAGCAGCTGGCCCTGAACCCTCATGGGGCTGGGGAGAGGGCCGAGGCCAGCTCATTTAGACCCTGTCCCCTTACAGCCTTAAGCCTCTTATTGCTACATTTGCTACTTTGCTACGTTATGGCCCCTGGATCTTGCCCAGGGGATGCCTTATCACTGGGTGGTACTAATGAGTAGGTTGCTGGCATCTGCGGTTGCCATGGTTACATGAGCACAGGCCTCTCTTCAGAGGGTCCTGTGATGAGTTATTAGTGATTCATTTGGCCACTATTTGACTTAGTCCATCGTCCTTGCTACATAGTCAACTTAGCCAGCTCCTTTTAGAGGCTGGTGGCACATGATCTCTCGCCCCAGCCCAGGGCTTCCCAGCGCCTGGACCTTGCTGGAACATCTCTCTCCAATACAGTCTGCAAGGCCCAAAGACCAACAGCCCTCAGCCCTTTGCACCTTCTGGGAAGGTTTCCTGGTTGTAGCTTTTGAAGCCCATGCATTTGGAGCAGAACAGGAAGGGTGTATTTTAGGAATAACATCAACTTCCACAGCAAGTGAGGGGGTCAGACGGGTGGCAGGCTCCTGGTTCAGTGTTCTGTTGGTGAGGTAGTTTGAACGCACCAGAAATCCTGCCAGGGAAAAGGCCCCTGGAACACGTCCCCGTGTGTTCAGTTGCAAGAGATCTCTCCTGGGACGCTGGCCTGGTACCTGACCACTCAGCAGTGGTGAAGCTCCCAGGCCAAACCGACTTCACTGGCAGCTGGGCCTTGCTTTGTTCCTGGGATAGCAACCTCTTCCCAGGAGGACAAAGCTGATGCATCACTTTCTGGAAGGGCAGGAGCCTTCTTCCGAGCCCAGAGAGTTCCTGCTGCTTGGGTCAGGCCATCTGGCTGCTGATGGGCATTTGTGCCAACCTACAAGATTTACTCTGCCCATAAAGGGAAAGGTTATTTGAGTCAAATGCCCAATACCTGGTGCCTTGTGTTTCTTACCTGATGGGTGGGTGGTCACTTGCTACGGCTGCCCTGATGCTTTGGCTGTGGGGCTTCCAATATGACATTTGTTCTGTGAGCCCTCATAGGGAAGAGTCCAGGCCTAGAGAACACACCCAGTCAGGGGAGCTAAGGCAGCTTCTAGGGAGCAGGATGAGGCAGAGGAATCTGCTTTGCTATAGAACTGCCTTTAAAGGTCTAACTGAGTCCGAATTTTTGGCTGCGTAATCCAGGCCAACGGCAATCTGGCCAAGACCAGATTTTCCAAATGTACTTGCATACCAAGGTCTGCATGGTAGACTGACCTTGGCCTGGCCAACCAGAGCAGAGCAACCTTATTCCACTGCCTTCTTGCAGGACTCTTGCTTGATCTACTGGTGAGCACATAGTGGTGGTCACTGGACAGAGTGTGCCCTAGTTGGGGGGTGGGGATGAGGGAATATTGCTCTGGTTTTGAATCCATCTGAAGCGTTCTTACCTCTATTAAGCCTGCTGACCCTGCTCTCCCTTCTGGATGTCCCCAGACATGTTGAGAAGCCTTCAGACTGCTCCATCTCAGGGCCACAGTTCACCTGGCTCTGGGGGAGCCTTCTGGGGACCTCCAGGGTGAGGCCAAGTCTCAGACCAGCATAGCCCAGTGACCATGGGTTGGAGAAAGAAGGGGACACAGAAGTCATGGCCAGGGAAGCCTTGCCTCTCTAGAATGCCCCCTGCAGCCCATGGGGAAGAGCAGGAGGCAGCCAGGCCCCTTGTCCTGGAAAACTGAGGGCACAGAGATGCATGCTGCTTGGAGACACCCTTTGTCCACATACCCTACGCCTTGGTGTCAGCACAGCCTGGGACCCTTGGTAGGAAATGGTGATGCTGGGTACAGATGAACTTAGACTGAACTTTTACCCCCCTGGAACAAGAGGTTTGTATGAAGGGGAAGGGAATAAAAAGATGTGGAATGAGGAGAAGGGGAGTCAAGAGACCCCACAACTTGGGATAGGGCTCATTTCATTCAATTTCTTATCAAGTGGTCACCAAGTGTCTGTGAAGTGCCAGGCTCTGTGCTGAGTGCGTGGGAGTGTCAACAAGAATCTGGGTCTAAAGGGCCACCCCTGGACACACTCTGAGGACTCAACATGTGTCATCTCTCTAATTTCTGCTGTATCTTGAAGAGAGAGAAACTGCTGCCAGTGGGGGAAAGTGAGGCGTGGTGGTCAAGAGCAAGGATGCAACCATAGTGAAGACTCCTAATGCCCATGGTGGCTGCCATGAGGGATGGAAGGTGGTGTCCTGAGGACAGGGCTGTGTAGAGACAGACCTAGGCAGAACTCACAGGTGGGGGCTTTAAAGATGGTTCATGGGGGAGTTCCCAAGAGGCCAGGACTGCTAACAAGCATAGGAGCCTTTGGTCACCAGCTGGTGAATTTGCCTACACGAGTAAAGAAATACCAGTGATTGCTTTTTTGCTTCCGTGTTTTCTGTTTATACACTCCCAAGGGAGACTTTTCACCTATGGCCAAAAATAGATCAAAGGAGGATAGTCATAGCAGGTGGGGGAGTGAGTGTCTGAATTCAAAAACAGGTCACTTAATGCAGCTCTGTCCGAGGGCTTGTGGGCATCACAAAAATAACAATGACAAGCACAATGGTATTAGCTACCATTTGCTAAGCACCTACTAGGCGTCAGGCCCCTGACTCGGTGCTTTACGTACATTACCTCCCAGCCAAGTTGGCAAATAGTCATTTTGACACACACACACACACACACACACACACACAAAGGGAATGAAAGCGGATCTTCTGCAAGTTTTTGCAGGTTTTGCTTTTGCTGGGCCTTCAGGTCAAGACTGGGAAGAGAACTCCATGGCTCTGGCTTCAGACCCAACTGAGTCCTGACCCAGGAAGGTCTGGCCATGCCTGTCAGGACGTCACCGTGGGGGCTGCCAGCCCTGCCATCCAGCCACCCCGGGCTGGGGGCCTTCCCAGCTTCCACGTGGAGCTGCCGAGGGGAGAATCCCAATGGCCCCTGAGTTTGTGGCCATGTTTATTTTGAATAAAATAAGGAGCGAGGGGGCAAAAACAGAATAAGTTATGAAAAAATTTTTTAAAAGATGGTCATCGCAACCTCCAGGCTGCCAAACAACAAGCTCCTTCATCCACTCTGGTGCTTCCTCTAGTGCTGGGCCCCTGACACCTCCCTCTGATGGGACTGGAGGGCAGCCACCACGCGGTGGAGACCTCTTCTCAAAGGGTGTCGAGAGGACTGGAGGCAACGCGATCCGCGAGGCTGCTTTGGTGCTGAAGACGTGAAGTGGACATTTTACGTGACAGCAGTGCCCAGTGCTGGCCTGTTATACCCAGGTGGCCACAGAGAGGTGGGGAGGCAGGCGGCGGGTGGACACGGTGGCTGTAGCTAGGGTAGGTGCTGTGGGCGACCGCGAGGGCGGGGAGGTGACGCATCACACTGGATGTGCCGGGTCCATCGTCCCTCTTGAGTCTGCGGGAAGGTGTGACCTCCAGACAGTGGGAGGAGTGAGGATAGTACGACTATAATCTCGAGTGATAGTTGCAACAGGACCCCATGAGGTGCTCTCCCTGGAAGGAGCAGGAAGCCAGGGCCTCTTAGGGGACAGAGCGCTGGAGCACAACTGGGCAGGGAAGAGCAGGTTGTAAACAGGAGCCACTCCCGGGCTGCCCAGGCTCTGTGGGCTCCCTCTTTCTGGCCTCCCCATCGACCCACCAAGTCTCCCCACCACTGCCCGGCATTGCCCTCACTCTTTCTCCTTCACAGTGACCAGATCTCCCCGTAAGGACACTCTGTCCGTGGATGTGGAGCGCCGCCGCCCGCCGGTGTGGTCCGCGGGCCCGGGCCCCGGCCCCGCAGCCGGGACGGTCAGGAGGACTGCATCAGGCCGGTGAGGCGCTTGCCCGCCAGCGACTTTCCCTGCAGAGACAGCGACAGAGAGGCACGCACAGGCGCGCGCACACACACACACAGGGACAGAGACAGAGAGCCAGACGGGTGAGTTAATTATTGCATGACCCACATAGGCCAGATGACTAACCAACCCAACTGACCACCTTGATAGTTGGGCTCTAGGTATGGGAGCTTTAGCTGCAGACTGCTGGAAACACCAGGACTCCAGGGTAGGTGAAGGGAGTGAGGGTGTGTCGTGGTACTTTTGTGGGGGTGTGGGCATTTTACTTATCGAAAACCAGGCATTGAAACCCTCAGGTAGAACATCTCTTAATGCTTGTGGCTACCCCTGAACTTGATTTTATTCAAGTGGAAAGGAAAAGGTGGACCGGGAAGTACTGAGGTCAGGGAGGGTGGGTTGACCCAAATAGATGGTGGCTAAGGATCTGGGGGATTAGAAACAAATGAATGAACTAGTCTTAAGAATGCTTTCAGGAGAGAACAGAACTGTGGTTACTAGAGGTAGGAAAGGGAGAGGGGAGGGGGACTAGCGAGAATTGGTCAATGGACACAAAGAGTGATTACATTTTGTAATGATGAATATGCTAATTACCCTGATTTGATCATCACATACTGTGCACAAGTATTGATAGTCAACTCTGTACCCCACAAATATGTGTAATCGATTATTTTTCAATTAAAAAAGAAAAAGAATGCAGAAGTCCTATGAATCCTGTTTGAAATGTAGCATAGGCACACAGGGTCCTTCCTCTTTGGTGGGTTCTGGACTGTGAAAGTGACAAGGGCATTCACCGAAGCTCAGAGCCACCATAGGTCCCAGGGCAGTGCACTCCTGCCGTCTCTGATGTTCCTGGCTCCTCATCTGTGGTACTGAGACCACAGGAAGTCTACAAGCTCTTCACTTACAACCTATGTGGCAGTTCTTCTCAAGAACTAAAAAGATAAACTGGATGACAAGACCCAGTGCATGAGGCATAGAGGTCCTAGGAGAGTCCAGTGTCTGTCTACATGCCCTGGAGAGGTGGTTGAGGAGCCCTTGATCTGGGTGGGATTTCAGCACCGGGCACCAAGAGGAGGGATGAGGAGGGTGAATGAGGCTCAGTGGCCCTGCTTATTTCCTTGACATGGTCTGCACCCGTTCCCTGGCTCACCGTCTTTAGAATCTATATCACTGGACAGGGGTCTAGAGGAGAGTGTGGCTGGACCCAAGCAGATTGATCACTGTGTCTAGGAAAACACTCCACCCCCATCCTATTATTGACAGTGGGTCAGTGACACCATCGCCATCTGCGAAGGGCAGCACATGGTCATCTGGTAGAGAGATTGCAAGAGCCAGCAATTCCTCATGTTCATTTCCAAGTGGGGTGTGAGGGCTCATCTTGTTTATTGGGCTTGGCTGCCTGTAAGCTGGTTGTAATTAAAAAAAATTGATCAGATTTGTGAATCCTGGTAGAGAACTCAATAAACCTGCTGATTGACGAACTGATGAATAATGGGTATATCTAATAAACGAACAGCATGGGGTGTGAGTTTGCTGGATTGAGGATACTGTGTCATCTGGCTTAGATCTCTACAGAGGGAGATGGCCAGCCTGACTCTGAGAATTCCGATGGCATGAATGGGAGCTTGTCCAGAAATGGAAAGTCTGCTCTACCCCCCTTGTTCTTCTTTTTCCCTTTCTCTTCCCATTTTCACTAGTGAGACAAACTTTTTTTTCTCCCCTATCTTAAAATAAGCACACACACGCACACAAAATCTCTCCATCAGCAACCATATCTACATCTTCAGAGGTACTAACCTTAGCCTGCAGCAGGAAACATTTATACTAGGCTAAGGATTTTTTAATCAGATTTTTAAAAAAAAAATCCTAGAGGGTAACAGTGTGTCTTTGAAAAAACACTGAGACAGGATGGCTACTTCTTTGTCTAGAGTAGGTTAGGTACTACAGTAGCTCTCAGAAGGCAGAGGCTGCTTCCAGGATCCCCCCTCCAGCCCTGGATTTGACGGCACACACCTAGCTGTTACCCCCCTTGAGTGCTCTGTCTCACATGGAGCTTGAGGCATTTGTCATCCAGTTGCTTCACCTGGGAATATGCCTTCTAGGTGCAGGCCTGAAGCCAGGAGGCATGGGGGGCGTGTGGGTCCTGGGGAAAGTGTGGGGCTGCTGAGTCCAGGGGCCTCCTGGCGCTGGTGTGAGAGCTCTCACAGGCGTCCCTCATTCCCTACTACCCATGTCCGTCCCGCTCATAGAAGGGATTTTGCGTTCCTCGTGGATGCTGCTTATTGCTGCATTAACCAGGCACTAAATACCAGCTTCTCCCCCTCCTTCATCTCTCTTCCACCAGGGCCACAAATTACACATCATGTACCCAAATATATAGGTTCTGGGTTTGCTATACACAGCATTTGGGGCTCTGGTTTAGATGGCAGATGTGAAAATAAAAAAAAAAAAATCACGAAAGCTTCTGTTGCCGATGTGTATGTTAAAAGCCCAGAGACAAAGACCATGAGGTTTACCAGTTTCCCAAACCCTCATTACAACTTCTCCTCATTAGTGAGGTCATTTTGGCTGGAGAGGGGGCTGTGGGTTGAGGGAGGTTGGAGCTTCTATTTCTGGAGAATTGTGTGTCTATTTCTTTTAGGTGAGTTTGGCCCTGAGGCTCCCCCCACCCCCAACCCCTCCTACTTGTACAAAACCAGCTGGGCTGGGCTTGGAGGCGCTAATTAATCTCTTCCTGCCTAAGTCCTACAGCTCTGACTCCCGGGGACCTGTGGCCAGCCTGTCACTGCCTGCCCCTCCTCTTCCCTCAACTGCTTCCGTTTCTCAGGACTTCAGGATCGATGGTGAAGCTGACCAGCTTAGGGGCCACCCCTGGGATTGCTCCCAACCTCTCAGCAGCCCAAGTGCTGCTGCTTGGCATTTTTGTCTCCCTCTCCCCACTTCTGTGCTCATGCATTTGCCAAATGCCAGTTCTGCTGCTGAAGACAGAGGTCACAAGGGTTCGGATTGGCTCAGGAAGCAGCTCAGCCCAGCTGCAATCTACCCGCTGCATAGTGACCTCCCGGGTGAGTGAGGGCAGGCTCAGGCTGGAAGGCGGTTAATCATGCAGGCTGCAGGCTGGCTAGATGCCTGGCCCAGGGCTTTGGGGAAGAAAGCCTGCAATCACACCTGCTCAGCAGCTGCCTCCCTTCTGAAGAGTGAGGCTCCTGTATCTTTCAGGGATCACAGTGAAATCTGAGAGCAGAGGCTACCTGCATTCAGAGATGAGTTGCCCCTTTGGGCTTGCAGGGATCTACTGAGGTACTTGCTCTGCCCAGAGAGAGGAAAGATCCCACCTGCACCCTCTAGGACTCTTTCCTCCCCTCTCCTTTTTTGCATGATTCTGAAGGAACCGCTTAGGAAGGGGAGTGGCAATTCTGCCTGTGTCTGGCAATTGCATAGTTATGGAGCAGGCAGTTTTTTCAGGGTGAATGTATGATATTCCTCAGTCCTGGTCAATTGGGAACAGATCGTGGTGCCAGGAAACTGCAGCCAACTCAGCCCGAGGCCTTGGCGCAGCTGAGCAAAGCAGCTGAGGGTGGTTGAAAATGCTATTAGCAGACAGCCTTTGTCCAAGTGAAGAAATACACAGTGATTAAGAACTGAGCTGCAGAAGGTACATTCCAGAGGCACTAAAGCTTTGCATACGGACAAAGTGCTTTTCACCTATGAGACATTTGGCAAAGTGTCATCCAATGGAATTTGGGATCAATTGCATGGACTATAGGCTCTTTGCTGGGTTCACAAACACCCACACATTCAATTCCCGCCTTCCATCTGACTAATCATTTCAGCTCTGTAGCCATCTTGATGGCTAGAAGCCTGGAATAAGGTGGTCATGGAATCCTTTGTTTCTGAAAGGAAATGCACAAAAGGAATAGCTCCCTTTTTGCAGTGCTTCAAGAAAAATCAACATGCTGCTTGACATGCTGTGGCTCTGTGCATTGCACTTCCAGGTATTAATCAACAAAGCATGCACGGTCCGGGTTACCAAGAGCTTTCACCACTTACTTACCTGGGAGATGGGTGCTAAACTCTTTGGCTGGGAGGAGGGTTGTGGCTGAGAGTAGCTCTGGGGGTCAGATGGCATATTGGGGGCAGCAGAGCCAAGCACTAGGGGCTCAGGAAGGACCCTTTTCAATGCTAGGGAAGCAAAAATATCTGAGCTGCTGATTGCACAGACTTTCTAAGACCAATGTTACAAATCTCAAGTCCACTAAGTCAAAATCCAGGCTGTTAAGGGGATAGAAATCAACCATGGTTGCTTCTGGGGGAGAGAGAGGGAATTGATTGGAACTGGGCATGAGGGACCTTTGTAGGGTGATGGGGTGTAGGTTACATGGCGTATACATCTGTCAGATTCATTCAGCTACATGTCAGATCTGTTCATTTTACCATATGTAATTATACCTCCACAGAAAAAAAAAAGATTAGAAAAAAATCCCAGCTATCACATCTCTGCCCTGGAGTTCCCCACTCCTTATTCTTTTTCAATTGCTGGGCCCATCTTTGCCTCTGGAGAAATTCTTGGTTCCCTCTCCAGTACAGAAGAAACCCAGATTCCTGTCCTAGTGGAACTGGAGCATGCAACAGAACTCATTTGGAACACTGTTTCTAGCCTCCCTTGATCTAAGCTGATCCCCTTGGTGTGGCACACGTGCATTTTTCATTCTTCCTAATGAAAAATGGTGTTTCGCTGAATGGGGCTCACTAAGTGACCTCGGCAGGCAAGAAGTGGGAAGCCCTAGAGATGAATTGCCCTTTCAAGGAGGCTGAAGGTCACCTGTGAATAGATGATGCTTAAGTTCCTAAAAAATATGTATGTGTGGAACCACAGACCTGGGGGCAGGTGGGACTTTTTGAGGAGAGCAGTTAGGAGCCTGAGAGCCAGGTGGAAAGGTAAGGGGTCCTGGCTTGGGTTTGGCAGAAGGGGGAGAAGCCAAGGACCGGCCTAACTCCATCAGGTGACTCCCTGGAGGTTGGAACCTCTGATGCCCTTCTCCACTGAGCCAAGCAAAAGGAATAATTTTTAAAGGGAGTACAAAGGATTCCATAGCAGTTCCTTTCTCGATAATGTTTAAAATTGGGGAGAGGGAGTGCTGCCCATTTGGGATGATTAGGGGTCTGAGAAACTCTAGCAGGGGTGGTAGGAAAGTCCACACTTCATATAACTTCAAAACACTTTTCAACTCCTCATCTCTTATCGCCCTCTGATCAACTCTGTGAGGGAAGGTGGGGCAGATGAAATGGGAAAACCAGGTTATGGGACTAGGCAGAGATTACACACGGCCAGTCCACAGCAGAGGCAGGCCAGAGTGGCACAGGAAGGAAGAGAGGATGTTTCTGGCTTTGTCACCCTTCAGTTGTGAGTTGGGGCAGGAGCCCTGTGGAAAGATTCATTCCTGGGGTCTGAATTACTCCAGGGTCTTCACTAAGCTTTCTGATCTCTCTCAGGTGCTGAAGGGCATTTTAGTTGGTTTTTTTTTTTTTGGTGGAGCCACCATTCGGTCTGTGGCCCTGTGTTATTGGTGCCAGTGCCTCTGGAAGCTCACATAGCAACCATCCTAGGGAGGACAGAAGCAGTGATATTTGCCTTTCTAAGGTGGGTCACGCAGAGTGGCTTTCCCCCAGTTAGAACCAACCTCATTTCAATTCATTCTAGGCCAAGTGCTTTATGAGAGATATCCCAGCCAGAAGCCCTCCCTGGGTGGTATTCCTGCCACCTCTGACTCCTGCCTCCTCTCAGACTCATCACTAACGGACTCTTTGCAGAGGCCAATGTCTGCCTGTCAGTTCTGATGACTGATGGGAGACCTCCCCCCAGCTGTGCAGGGACAAATCTGGAACCAGGCAGGGATGCCAGGAGTGACAAGGACTCAGCAGCTGAGGCCTACATTCATGGAAGAATGCCCAGGCACACAGTCCCCGGCCTCCTTTCCAAGTTGTGCATTTCCATTTGCCCTGCTGCTCTCTATCCCTGGGCAGTGGAAATGCCCCCTTTTTACTTCTGGCTCTCTCTCCTCTACTTCCTTTCATCCCCACTGACCAACGCTGTTGCTCTTTCTACACTCGGCTTGCGGGAAGCTCTTGGTGGCCTCAGGAGTGGAGTGGAGGGGGCATTCTGCTTGCAAGTCCCCTCAGTAGGATGCCTTCCTGTGGCCCACACAATGCCCACCTCCTCTTCTCCTCCTCCTCCTCCCCAAATGTGGCACCTAAGTTCTGGTTTGCTCCAAATTAGGCAAAGGCCAAAAGACCCAAGGAAACAAGGACATGGCTGTGTTACTACTGGCAACAACTTGATGCTACTTTTTCCCAATTAAGAAGTTCAAGTAGGGCCGGCCCGGTGGCGCACTGGAGAGTGCGCCGCTTGGGAGCGCGGCGACCCACCTGCTGAGGGTTCGGATCCCATGTGGAGACCGGTCCGCTCACTGGCTGAGCGTGGTGCGGGTGCAACACCGAGGGTTGTGATCCCGTTGCCGGTCCCCGGTACGGGTGCGACACCGAGGGTTGCAATCCCGTTACCAGTCGGTAAAAAAAGACAAAAAGGAAAAAAAAAAAGAAGAAGTTCAAGTAACCCTTGACTATGACTACAGGGGAGAGTGCAGCTGAAGTTTAATAACTCGATATTGTGGACGAAGCAGCGAGAGGAAGTCACTTGCTTGGCAGCATGAGATTCTCGCAAGGACTCATGTGGACTCAGCTCAGTCCTCTAAGGGTACTTATCGTGTCCTGCAAATCTGTTCACTCATTGGCTGTTCACATACATTGGCTGGAGTCCCTGGGGAAGCCAGCTGCCAAGTCAGAGCCTAGAAGGCTCAGGCTGTCAACTTGATGACCACCCCATCAAACGCTTCCGTGAATGTCCCTATCTATTCTGATTCCTGTGCAAAGGGGCCGGCACATTTCTCTTCCCCCCCTACTACTAGCAACGCAGTTCAGCAGGCATTTATCAGACATGCATTCCTCACCTGAAAAGTGCAGCAGGGAATAGGTTAAGCAGCATTTTCAAGAGATGCCTGGAAAGAATCTTGGGTCATTGGAATTCCTAGCCACAGAGAACCTCTTACTTCCTTACAGACCCCTTTCACATGTGGCTGAGATGCTTTTGGTCCCAGTGGGACAGGGGATGGGTGGTTTCCCAGCTTCCTTCTCCCCTGGTAGGACAGTATGCAGAAATGTGAGATTTCTGAGTTTTCTGCAGGACTTGGCCCAGGACCCGCAGAGAAGGGTTACTGAAACTTTAGCCAGGAGATGAAGTGTAGGGAGGCTGTTGTTGGATTTAAAAGCATCTTCATAGGTAGTGAGCGTTTCTGTCCTGTTGTGTTAGGAAATGGGAACCAGCAGAAGTGAGTCACAGGATTAATACCTAAGCATGTTATTTGTCCATTTCTTTTGGGACATGGGACTCATCTTGGCATCATTTCTGGACCCCTGAGCTCTTTATTTCTTTGGAAGGAAAAACTATGGGTGCAAAAAGATAGGCAGAAAAAAATGGGGACACCAAGAAATGAGTGCCACTGACTATCCACGGAACCAGGGTGTGAGAACAGGAGTGGTGGGTGGAGACAAAGCCACAGACAAACAGATCATCTCTTCTAGTTTGGGAGCACCTTCTGTGCAGAAGGACCCCAAAAGTTAGATAGTGTGCAGACGCCGGGATCACTCACCCACTGCTGGAAGGAAGCCACCTCGGGGGTGAAATGCAGCGGCCATTCTGACTCTGCGCCAGCAGCACTAGGCAATTGTGTTTTTAGGAAGGGAAGTGAAGAATAACTTATCCAGCTGAAACCGTGAAGACCTATGGCTTTAGAGGAGCCCCTGCCCAGACATGCACACAGCTGCAGTGGGCATGCAATCCACGCACAGAGGCACATGCAGGGCTGCAGCGTATGGTTACACATGCACTATACACTGAGCTTGGAGGCGCGTATTAGGCAGGCGGCACATACACCTGGGTATACACCTGGGCACATGTGTATACACCTGTGCACACATTCATGTGCATGTTTACACTGCAGGCATTCACATAAACATCACATGCAAGGTACATAAGCAACCGTGTGATTGGCCGTAGATGCCAATCTTTGACAAACACTGCAAACTTAAAGTATTTACCTTAAAATACACATATAAAAATTGAATTCTCCCTGGGAAAGAGCCATTCAGTCATGTCAGTGGAGATGACCTCTCCACTTCTGCCTCTGTTAATACTACAAGCAGTAGGAGCACATACCCCAGGGGTCTGGTTGATTTGGGGATTTCAAAGCATTCCCTGCCATTTGCTTCTGACTCTTCCAACAACCTCGCTTTGTAATAAGTGGTTAATAAATAGAAACCTCTGATTATCTGGCAGATGGAGCAACTGGACTTGGTGAAGTTGTATTGCTCAGAGTGGCTCCAGGCAGAGAAGTGAGTGTTTCTGGGAATGAGACTTCTGTCATGCGGAGGGCTACATTTGGAGGACAGGGTTTCATGCTCTTATCATGGGTAGAGCCATTCCCGGTCTGTGTCTGGAAGCAATAGGCATCTTAGGGTCCTGCGCCTCAGTAGGGGGCCGAATGCCAGATCTTGAAACATACTCAAAGTTTTACTGGTTGCTTTACCCCTGTCCCAGGCTGACAAGCCCCTCAGGTCCCACGGCTTCCTGGGAAGTGCTTAGGGGCTTGAGAAATCAACCTCGCTCTTATCATGGGTAGAGCCATTCCCGGTCTGTGTCTGGAAGCAATAGGCATCTTAGGGTCCTGCGCCTCAGTAGGGGGCCGAATGCCAGATCTGGCAACATACTCAAAGTTTTACTGGTTGCTTTACCCCTGTCCCAGGTTGACAAGCCCCTCAGGTCCCACGGCTTCCTGGGAAGTGCTTAGGGGCTTGAGAAATCAACCTGGGCATCACAGTCCCTCCATTCCCTAGAAAAACAGAGAAACCAGCTCTCTGAGGCGACTTTAAAAATAAGCCAATAATAAAATCTACCTTTTATTGAGTAGTTACCATGAACCAGTCACTGTAATAAATAGGCTTTGCACACACCGTCATCCCCACTTACCCAGTCCCAACTGCAAAGTAAATGTAATGATACCTACCTCTCAGAATATTGTTGGAAACTGCATAAGGGAGTAAGTGAAGAGCTAACTAATCATGGACCGTAAATAACATCACAATGATGAAAATGCTACTAAGAGTAATACAAGGGTACTTCAAAAAGTTTGTGGAAAAACAGAATTAAAAGATGATACAAATCTTTTCATGAACTCCTTGAACTTGTTGAGCATATACACTACGGTGTGCAAAGCACTTCCTGTATTTTCCCCACTTAATCATTTACTCTTATCTCCCTTTTACAGATGAGGAAACTGGGGCTTAGAGGAGCTGCCCAAGTCACACAGCTAAGTGGCGGAGCTGGAGAAGAGCCAAAGTTCATCTCAGGCCAAGCCCAGCATGACACTGTACAACACTGTGGGCTCCCAAGAAATGGCAGCCACAGCTATCATGCCACATTTAGTGCCAGCATCTACCCTGGGCACTAGGCTTGGTTATACCCAGCGGGCATGTGAGCAACTTGCTTAGGGCCTCATATTAGCATCAGGTGGAGAGAAAGGGATTTGACTGGGGCTGCCTGTCTCTACCGCATTTCAGTGGGTGCCACAGGGTCAGTGTTTTTAGGGGGCAAAGCAAGCAGGTCATCTCCAGTAGTGGCTGAGAATGCAATTGGGAGAAATGTCCTCACTAGATCTTGATACTTAACTCTGGGTAGTTGTGCTGCTCAGTCACAACCCAGCTCCTTTCTCTTTAGCGACACAAGCAGTGAAGTAACTGGCTACTATCAGGGTCAGGAGCAGTCGGGATGGTTCAGGGCAGTCAGCGGGAGGAGCCCATCAGGGGCCTCCCCAAAACACACTCCTGCTGGAGCAAGATGCACCTCACTGCACGGTCCTCTGTGTAGTCCTGGGGGAATATGGAAATGAAGGGAACCCTGACACCAAACCTGCATGAAGCTGCTGAAGGGAAGGTGGGGGGGCTCTGGTGGCTTCCACCAAAACCACACTCCTTGGTGGTCCTTCTCATGATGTCCTACGGATTTGATGATGATTCAAGAAAGCTGTGATTGAGGGCTATCAAATAATGGATGAAGCTGTATCATTACCGAGGAAACCTCCATCAAGTACATGACCACTGGGTTGTGATCACTCACAAATGCTAATGGTTGACTTCTTTGCATATTCAGGATTATGGGTGCCCCAGAACCTTCTAGTAACATCCAGGACAAAGAACCCATAAGAATTTTCCTACTACTGTTGTTGAAGATTGCAGGGTTGGGTTGAGTTTTGCACTGGATGCTTCATCTCCATTTCCCAACATAACGTGCTGTGACGTGAAGGCCAGCCCTCCTGTCCTTGCTCCACAGTCTGTCTTTTCCTATTAGGCACGGGGGATCAGATGCGCCATGCTCTTGGCGCCCATGAGAAAGGCCAGGGGCACGGTGCAGAATGGTTCTCCAACCCTGTGAATATGTACAGGTGTCCCCTGGGTCCCTAAACTTCCCTTCCCCTCACCTCTCGTGCCCAGGCACCAATCGTGCCTGACAGCATTTTACAGGAATGTCTGAGAGAACACAGCAACAATCAACTCTGACTGGGCTTTCTTTAGCTTTAAAAAATGTCTTATTAAACTTTGCTGACTTTACCAGGAGCGCCATGTTTAATGAGAGGCCTCAAAGAATTTGAAAGCAAAAGATGAAGAGAGGAAAAAAGCCATAAGCTGTAATCACCATAATTACACAATCCCACGATGAGTTGAGCACAGCTCTGGTGAAGCCCGAGAGGAGGGAGTGTCATCTGCAATTGGGTTGACTCTCAGGACAGCTGGAAAGAATGTGACATGAAAGCCCTTCCCTTCCCCTGAGTTGAGGTGAAGATGAGTCCCCAGAGCAGAGCCCAGGAGGAGGAGAGCCCAGGGAGGGCAGTTTCTCTTCTGTCTGTGGTTTCTGGGGGTATGATCTGCTCCTGGCCAGGCTGAGATGTCTGGGTGTCATCTTGTCCACCTGGAATCTGCAAGTGGCTTTGGGTAGAAGGCAAATGGCTTTATCATCTTTTTTGCTTTCAGCAAAACACCCTTTCTGTGCTGGGAACTATGACAGGCCAAGCTTTCTCCAGCCCAGAGCCAGACGCCTCTCCTACATGGCCACCCTGGCTGTGCTCAGCCTGAGTGCACTATGGTTGTCAGCCTCCCTGTGCCAGCAGCACCTGTGTCCTCCATCCGCTGACCTCCTTTTAGGTATTCAGGGGAGAGAGCCTGGTTGCCCAGAGCTCAGCATCTGCAGCAGCAAATGCCTTAAAAAAGAGAGAGAGAGAGAGAGAGAAAGAAAAAGGCAAGGATGACATGTGAAGGGCAGTAATTCCACTTCTTGACAGTTTCCCTTGTGTTGAGTGTCATCATCTGGCTCCTTCTCCCCCAAGGCAGAGTCTAATATGAATCTTTCAGATACCTCTCCTCCAGTCTCAGCAAACTACCTCCATATCATCCATTCTCCTTTTCCACGACTTATTTATAAACCACAGAATGAAATGCAGTAGGATCCGTTTAACAAATATTTAAGGCAGCACAGAATTCCAGTTGCAAGATATCATGGAATCCAATGCAGAAGTCCACCCTACAATATCCTTGGCCATTCAGCTTCTAAATGTTTCCATTTAGTTTTCAACATTAAGCCAGAGGGCTCATTGCTCCTTGAGGTGACATATTGCATTGTTAGGTAGTTGCTACTGTTAGAATGTTCTTCAGTAGCGTCACCCTCCCTGTACCTTCCACCATTTGTTCTAGCTTTACCTTCTGGAACAATCCAGAAGAATAATCCACTCTCTCTGGAAGACAAATACAAATAGATCTCACGATGGTCATTGAATCTCCTTGGGGGCTAGACATCTTGACCTACTCCAGCCTCTTCTGACATGGCTTCCAGAGTCCCTTTCTCACCCTAGTTATTTTCTTCTAAATTTTCTCTAGCTTCTTAAAGCTCCTGATGAAATGTGGCAGCTTAGAACCAAGACTCAATACAGTTTAGAGCAACACAGAGCAGTGGAACACTTCTCTCTTCTCTGACTATCCACTTGTCATCAAAGTGTACAGTTGCCTTTTTTTGAAAGGGGTTACAACCTGCTTTTGCTTACACTAAGCTTATAGTCAACTACAACCCCAGGATTTATTTTTTCACTTGAAGGCTACAAATGCCATTCTGTACTCATGAAAGTGAATTTTTTTTAAAACACAAGTATTATCTGGTTAAGTTTTTTTTGGCCCATGATAATTGTATGTATTTATGGAGTACAATATGATATTTAGATACATCTATACAGTGTGTAATGATCATATCCGGGTGTTTTGCATATCATCTCAAACACCTGCCACCTCTTTGTGTTGGAAACATTCAACATTCTCTCAACTAGCTATCTGAAGTTATTCAGTACTTTGTTGTTGACTGTAGTCTCCCTATATTTCTATACAACACTAAATCTTATTCTTCCTGTCTCTCTACAATGGATACATTTTATCTAGTTGGTTTTGACCCATCATCCTAGGTGAAAGAGATACTTTTCAAATGTAATTTCATTATCTACCAAGTGAGCAAAACCTTGCAGGTTTGGATCTTTGAATATGGTTGGCATTTTTGTCTCTTCATCCAAATCATCAAAAAGGATGTTGGACGGGACAGGGCAATGGCTGGACTCCTGTGGGCCACT